CAATGCGAAAAGAAATAAGCTACTTGTGGTTGACACTCCATTGATTTTCAAATTGAAATGGATGGGAAAGTGTGTTTCATTTTAAAACTGTCTACTCATGTTACGACACATGATACAATGTCAAAAATGATGTCAAACAAAATGTACATATAGCATGATTGATGTGAAAATTAATGTACTACCAAAAATTCAAAATAGATATTGTCGTAATTCAAAATTTGATTCTAAATGTATGCAATAATGAGTCTATCACATGAAAACAAATTGAAGTATATTGACCTTATTTTTTTATTACATATACACTATATACATGGCACAGCTGGTTCGTTTACCTAACTAAATCACAAAATAAACATCTGGATTAAATCACAAAATAAACATCTGGATTTAGATTTTCATCAACTTAAATTACAAGATTTCAAAGAGATAACAAAACTTTTGAAAATCATTATCATCTTTGGATTTCTAACTCTTTCTTTCTTCGAATTCTGTCAAAATAATTTCTAAATTATTTTTGATTTTCGTGTTTGATATTTAGTATTCAATAGCCTCTGTTCTAGAATAGTATAGCTAAGCATTGGTTCGTCCGACTGCTATATTCATTTTGGAAGAAGCGTTATATCCCGTAAGATGGATGTCCATTTGATATCGCCCATCATGAATCAGAAAATAGATGCCATCGCTTGCTGGTACCCAAAAGCATACACCACCATTACAAGCATATGTAAGATTTATAAAATGAGAACAGAAAAGTATAGCAAATTTTGAGTTGTCTGGCTTACTTACCAAATGCATTCATTAATCACCTTTATATAATGATTTACAATAACTGAATGTAGTCATAATAGGAGACTATAAAGGAAATACAATAGCAACAGAAGACTACCAAAGATAGGAGACTGTCAAAGATATACTACAACTTTATTGATTACAATGTTTACTGATTTGAACTCAGCCAACAGGAGGTTGAGATAATTCTACAGATGTTTAGTTGGCTTTTGTTCCTTCATTCTCGACCTCAAGATTGAGTTCACGTGGGAATACTTTAACACCAACTCTGCAAATTGATGGGAAGCAAACACACCTTCAGTTTGTTATGTAAGAATTGAAATCTGGCAGCAGATTGTTCTTTGGTAAACAAATCTACTATTTGATCATGTGTAGCAATGTGTTTAACTTGAAAGTCACCATTAACAACTTTTTCTTGGATAAAGTGGTAATCAACATCAATATGTTTTGTCCGAACATGAAACGCGTGATTTGAAGCTAATGCAGTAGCACTAATGTTATCATACCACAAAACTAGACCAGTATACAAGAAAACCTACAATTCTTGGAAGAGCATTTGAATAAATTACATCTCTGCAATTGCCAATGCCATGCGTTGATACTCTGCTTCTCTACTTGAACGGGACACGATGTTTTGTTTCTTCGCTGTCCACGAAATGGAGTTTTGTTCCAAGAAAATATCATAGCCACTGGTGCTTTTCCTGTCATTTGGATTTCCAACCCAATTAGAGTCACAATATGCATTGAGAACAATAGCATTAGAAGAGTAATGAAGTCCAAAATAAATTGTGCCAGCATAATTGTCACACCCCACACATTATAGTCAAAGTCAAGAAAATATTTGGTCAATTCAAAGTGAAAAGAGGACTTCAGTTGAAGAAAAATAATTTCATGGGGATTATTATAAATAAATGGCATTTGTTGGTGCTAACTGGTGATTATGGAAACAAGTTCGTTAGTTTTATATAAGATGGAAACACTAACAAATCATGGCAAAGTTGAAGGCCTCATATTAATTATTACATTGTTTCCTATTTTTGGTGTACAATTGGAGATGGTCCAACTCCCGGTTAAAATATTTGAGTCAAAGTAAGTGTACAAATTCCAAGATCATCATTCCTACAAACACAGTTAATGCAATGCTAGTGTAGATGTAGGTGACTATTGATTGAACGCATACATATCATATATTCAAGAGTAATGCTATTCTGAATCACTGGTATCAAGTGCCCATATAGATGATAACTGCATATCATTAAATGATAAATTCATTTAAATGCAATGTCACGTGATTCATTTAATTAAACAAATCAAATGCGAATACCTAAGCTGGCACTCTAACATCACTGATGTTAGATTGCATTATTTTGGCTAGATGGCTAATAAGTGTGTTTTTGCAAACTTATTTAGATCACAAACATGACTTAATTACGAGCAAAATGTTTAAATTATGACTTGATCTTTTCGAATTCATGCAATGTAAGTGTTTCTATGGAATTGGTGGAATTCAGGAGAAAAGAGCCGAAAAATGACTAAAATGGAGCAAAGTGATAGTTCAGGGACTAAGGATGCAAATATTCAGAGTTGAACTAAAAAGCAATCCATGAATGCATATATGCTAAGTATGAACTCGAACGCGATACAAGATGATTGGAAGAAGAAGGAATTGCAAAGGGACTAAAATGAAGAAAATGAAAGTTCAAGGACCAAAATTGAATTTTTGCATAGTTGGCAGCACTCTATGCGGTCGCATAAAGGCAGACAGAGAATAATTTCTCAAAAAAATTTACTCTATGCGACCGCATAGAAATGTACTACGCGGTCGCATAGAGTAGTTCGAAGGCCGAATCTGCAGTTTCCTTATTTTGCCGAAACTCTTATGGAAACAAAATTTTTGGGGTCGTATATAAATGAAAACTCGACCAAAACGAAGGGGACGCCGATTTTACAAGAAAAAGGAAGATTTTGAAGGAGAAAACGAAGGGAGAACAAGAGGAAAATATCACGCCAATTGAAGAATTGATTGAAACTTGATTCTGGTGATGACGTTTTTTTAACTATTTTTGTATTTTCTTCTTTTTAACATATTAGGCTAGATTTTTCATGTAATAGGAGATAGATGAACCTTGCAATACGAGTTTTGATTTTTAATTTGGAGATTTGACATATTTAAGCAAATGTTCCGGAATTGAATGATTTATACGCTATTATCTTCGTATTATCACTGTGCACGTAATTATATGATTTTGGTGGCCTGTTTTATGCATTCGAGAGAAGGAAAATAGGCCCGACATGGTATAAATCATCATAGGATCTGATAGGGGATAGAAATATACCTCTATGCCTCGTGTGAATTGTTGAATATTCATGAAATTACATGCATTCCTGTATGTTAGTATTCGTCGTAGAGATATAGTCGAATCACATATTGGGGTAGGCTTAGTATTGCTCTAGAGAGATTGCTAAATTAAGATAGGAATATTGATTCATCAATTGTAGGAATGTGTGTCAAATTTGCATAATTGAATGTTGAACGGGTGTTGCTTGGGAATTCATGATCCTAGTGCGTTAGTAATTCATTAATTTCTATAAATTATCGTAGATTGCATCCAGGTCATTTTGCATTTAGTATAAGTTTCTCACTCATAATTGCATCATAGTTCACTTCATCCTTAATTAAATCACAATACATACATCTTACTTTCGTGTTTCGGTTAAGGTCATAATAAGTTAATTTAAACTGATTCAATCATTGTGGGATCGATACTTTGACTCATAATCCATTCTACTACTTGTTAACGAACCGTACACTTGCGGTGGGTTCTAAATCGAAAGAAATAATTTTATGAACAAGTTTTTGGCACCGTTACTGGGGATTAAAATTTAGTTTAATTTTATCTATTGTGATACTAATTCGATCTTACCTAGATTAGTAGTAGTTAGCTTACTAGACTTAGTTTATTGTCTACTTTAATTTAATTTTGTGCTATTTTTTTACTATCTCAAGGCTTGTATGCAAAGAGCACCTGATCGAGATTTGGTTCCCATTGATCCAGAGATCGAACGTACATTTCGTCACAGTCAAAGAGAAGCAAGAGCGGCACAACAAATTCAAAAAGACCAAAAACAGCAACAATAGATGGCTAACGAGCAAAATCATCCGGTGATTCAACTCAACGAAGGCGCGGGGGCTGAAGATGAAGGGAATATGATACTTGGGGACTTCATGGCACCATTGGTGGTCCATAGTCAATCTAGTATTGTGTATCCTCCATTTGGGCTACCGAACTTCCAGCTGAAAACATATGTAATTCAACTGTTTTAGAATGGGCATCAATACCACGAGATGGCTAATGAGAATCCACATACACATATATCCCGATTTCTGGACATGTGCCAACACTTTAGGTACCAGGGTATCTCAGATGATGCTATAAGACTACGATTGTTTCCACACACTCTGCGAGATAAAGCACTTGAATGGTTGGATTCACTTCCTGTTGCAAGCATCACCACTTGGAACGAGCTAGCCCAAAAATTCTACACCAAGTTCTTCTCGCTAGCTAAGGTAGCAAAAATGCGGTATGACATATCTATATTCAACCAAGGTGAGTCTGAATCATTTGAAGAGGCTTGGAATCGCTTCAAAAATATGTTAAGGAAGTGTCCTCAGCATGACTTTGATAATAAGACACAAATTCGATTTTTCTACACTGGAATACTTCCATCATTCAAGAGCATGGTGGATTCATCATCCGACGGGTCAATCTTCACGAGAACAATTGACGGAGCATGGGAACTGTTTGAGAGAATGGCTACAACTTCAACCATGTGGTCTACAAATCGAGTGGTTCAGAAGATAATGCTGGGGGGTTTATGAAATAGATACATACTCAGCATCATCTGCAAAGATAGACTCCTTGTTCCATAAGGTTGAGAGCATTTCATAGACCGCCAATGCAAAACAAGTCAAGAAGTCAAACTGTGAAGAATGTGGAGCAGACCACAATACTGTCAACGGTCCAATTCTCACATAGGGGATTGAACATGTAGATTTTGTGCAATGAGGTCAACGCCAACAGAATAATCCACATTTGGAAACCTTCAATTAGGGCTGGAGAAAATACCCAAACTACTCATGGAGTAACTAGAATCAAAACAGACCAAAAGGTCAATTTCAGCAGCAGGATAAAAAGCCACCATTGGAAGAGATGTTTGAGAAGTTCATGGCAACGACTAATCAGTACATGGAGGTTAACAACCAGTTTATGAGAAAGATGGACGCAGCTCTCCAAGATCAAAGTGCTGCAATAAAAAATCTGGAGACGCAAATGGGACAGATGACAATCTCCATAACAGGTAAAACGCTAGGAAACCTACCCAGCAACACTAAAATCAATCCTAAGGAGCACGCAAAAGCTATAACAATCAAAAGTGAAGTACAACTATCGGAGATACATGTAAAAGACCGGTAGTTAGCAAGGAATCAGCACCTACTTCAGAGGACGAGATTGTGGAACAGACTAAACAAACAACAGAAGATGTTGCTAAGAAGAGTTCCAATACATCACGAGTTACAGCTACCAATTCTATCAACCCTCATAAGCCAGCTATTCCATTCCCACAGAGGTTGAAAAAACACAAATTGGATCAGCAAGATAGTAAATTTCTTGAAGTATTCAAGAAACTACACATCAACATTCTATTTGCTGAGGCAATTGTTTAGATGCCGAGTTATGTGAAATTCCTAAAGGATATCCTCTCTAACAAGTGAAAGATAGAAGTAAATGAAACAGCGATGCTAACTGAGGAATGCAGTGCCAGAATCCAGAAAAAGCTACCTCCAAAACTAAAGAATCCAAGGAGTTTTACTGTACCTTGCACTATTGGAAATTGTCATTTTGATAAGGCTTTGTGTGATTTAGGTGCAAGTATTAATTTGACGACTCTCTCTATTTTTAGGAAACTCGATTTGGAAGAAGCTAAAGCCACAAAAGTGACCCTACAATTAGCAGATCGATCCCTTACACATCCAAGAGGGATCATTGAAGACGTGTTGGTAAAAGTAGGAAAGTTTATATTTCCAGCAGATTTTCTTATTTTGGACATGGAGGAAGGTAATGATATTCCATGATAAGTGTGTTTTTGCACACTTATTTAGGTCACAAACATGACTTAATAATGAGCAAAATGATTGAATTGTGACTTAATCTCGTTATATTTGTGAATTGTAGGGAACATCGATGAACATGGTGAAATTCAGAAGAAATGAGTCGAAAAAAGACTAAAATGGAGCAAAGTGATAATTCGGGGACCAAGTTGCAAATAATTCATAGATAAGATGGGAAATGGAATGAAGATTCAAGAGTGTTAGAGGTCAATCGGATGAGGAAAGGAGTCAAGAGGTGAAACATGGTCGAAGTATTATCAAGTATCAACTTTCAGGCGAAAAAGTTATGCTCGTGATTTTTAGTCTCTACTTGAGATCCATTTTGGGCATAGTAAACATCAGAATTTGAGGAAGCCTATTTCCATCAAAAGTGTATATCTTTGAGTTTTCTTCCCAATGTACTTTGAATCACTTCAATCAGAGATCGAAAAAGAAAGTTATGACCAAAATACTAAACACTGTCCGACGGAAAAATTTCTATAACCATGCGGCCGCATGGTTATAATTCCTTGCGGTCGTACAAGGCAGTACAGGGAAAATTCTGGGCTGAAACTTCTGAACCATGCGGTTGCATGGCTTTATACCATGCAGTCGCATGGTATAAAAATGTGACGAAATCTCAGGTTTCCTTATTCGACTCAAACACGATTTAGTAAGGTTTTGGGCGACTTCCTTGACCTAATTCCGCCTCCAATAAATACCAGATGACCTTGAAACATAAAGAGGGGGGGATATACACAATTTTGAAGGATTTGGAGAGGAGGAACAAGGTAAAAACAAGGCAATCCACTTCAAGATTCAAGATTTCACTTTAAGAATCAATTGGATGATGTTCTTCCTTGGTTTTAATTATTGTTTTTCTTTATTTCCCATTATGCTAGGCTAGATTTTCAATTACTAAGTGATCGATGAATCATTGTTTGTTATTTTAATTCCATATTTCATGAATTTAATATAAAGACTTGTTTGGATAATTTGATTGGTTTATATGCATTAATTTTCTTCCACAATTAGTGGCCAATGATTGTGTAAGTGTTGATGACTTATTTCTTACATTCGAGAGAAGTGGAATAGGTTCGATAAGGTGTAAATTAATATAGAGTTCGATAGAGGATAGAGATATACCCCTATGCTTTATGCAATTCTTTAATTGTTCACAAAATCACATGCATTCTTATATATTTGCATCATCCATAGAGATATAGGCTGGTGGTGTGCAAGAATAGGTCTAATATATATCGAGAGAATATATTGGATAAAATTAGGAACATTGAATTGGTAAATTTCCATTGAGTCATTAATTTTATGAAATTAGGGTTTTCATAACTTCAATTGGGGATTCGTGATCCTAGTGACTTTAGTTTGATTCATTTCCATAAATTAGCTTTTGAATTTGCATAATTTCATTTACTTGAGTATTTGAGTCGTTTAATTAGAAAACTTTCGAAATTAGGGTTTCTAATTGAGAAATTAGGGTTTTTAGTTGAAATTAGGGTTTCCTAATTGAAATTAGGGCTTTTTGCATTTAGACCATATTTTCACTCAATTAGATTCGGTTAAGGTTAGATTATATAGAATTGAACTACTCAATCTCTGATGGATGATATTCGGACTTTTTAAAATCCACTTTATTACTTGTTACGAACCGTACACTTGCGGTAGTTTTAAAACGAAAGAATTATTTCGTGAACAAGTTTTTGGCGCCGTTGCCGGGGATTGAGTATTCGTTTAATTTTATTCAATTTAGCATTAATTCGAACTTTTTATTTTTAATTTATTTTAGTTCATTTTATTTTATTGCTAGTTAGTTTTATTACATAAGTGCATATTTTAGTTACTTAAGTCTTTAAATTGAATTCTATTGCAGAAGTGCATGCCAAGATCAGTTGAAGGAGATCTACTCCCAGCCGACCCAGAGATTGAACGAAGCTTTAGAAGAAGGTAGAGAGAAAACAGAGCAGCGAGAAATCAGATGGAGAACGTACAACACAATCCTGTTGTACAAGCCAATGAAAGAGGGGAAGAAGACAAAGGAAACATGCTTGTTGGAGAGTTCATGACCCCTCAAATCATTCAAAGCCAGTCCAGCATTGTATATCCACCGTTCGGGCAGCCAAATTTCCAGTTGAAGACAAATGTGATACAACAGTTCCAGAACGGACATCAGTTTTATGGAAGAACTGAAGAGAATCCGCACACGCACGTCTCGCGCTTCTTAGAGATGTGCCAGTACTTCAGATATCAAGGAATCTCTGACGACGTCATAAGATTAAGACTGTTTCCACATACTTTAAGGGACAAGGCGATTGAATGGCTTGATTCTCAGCTGATAGCTAGCATTACTACCTGGAATGACCTAGCTCAGAAGTTCTGTACTAAGTTCTTCCCACAGGCCAAGATAGCAAAGCTAAAGCACGACATATCTATCTTTAGGCAAGGTGAATCTGAGAATTTTGATGAGGCTTGGAACAGATTCAAAAATCTACTAAGGAAGTGTCCGTACCACGGGATAAGCAAGGGACTTCAGGTCCAATATTTCTATGCAAGGCTACTTCCAGCTTTCAAGAGCATGGTCGACTCTTCAGCTAATGGGTCATTGTCCACAAAAACAATTGATGAAGCATTGAAATTATATGAGACAATGGCTACAACCTCAGCAATGTGGAGCATGGAACGAGCAGTACCAAAGAAGACACCAGGAGTTTATGAAGTGGATGCATATTCAGTGTTATCTGCTAAGATTGATTCCTTATTTCACAAGATGGAACACATTACCCAGTTAGCTAACGCAGCGCAGACAAAGAAGGCAAATTGTGAGGAATGTGGAGCTGAGCATGTGACAGCAGAATGCCCAATTTTGGCACAAGGAAAAGAGCAAGTAGATTTTGCTCAATGGGGACAACGCCAGCAGAATAATGTGTATGGAGAGACCTTCAACCCAAGCTGGAAAAAGCAACCCAACTTTTCTTGGAGCAACCAAAATCAAAAGAGGCCACAGGGGCAATATCAACAACAAGAGAAGAAGCCTCAATTGGAAGAAATGTTCGGCAAATTCATGGAACAGACCAACCAATATATGGAGGCGAACAACCAATTCATGAAGAAGACAGAAGCCACTCTTCAGAACTAGAATGCAGCCATTAAGAATTTGGAAACTCGGATGGGACAGATGGCAGTTGCATTAACAGGTAGAGCATCCAGCAGCCTGTCAAGTAACACAGAAGTCAATCCGAAAGAGCATGCAAAGGCTATAACAATGAGAAGTAGAGTGGAATTACCTGAGAGACAAGTGAATAATCCCATGGCAAACAAAGAAGAGATGTCTCCTGAAGTAGAAGAGATTTTGGAGCAAAAAGAGCAGACAAAAGAGCCAACACCGAGAGCAAATAAAGGAAACTCAAGGGATAAAGAAACTGTAGCTGTGAACCCCTATGAACCACCCATATCGTTCCTACAGAGGCTGAAGAAGCAAAAGATGAAACAGCAATACAAGAAGTTTCTCGAGGTCTTCAAGAAGCTCCATATCAACATCCCATTCGCTGAAGCACTGGTTCAGATGCCTAGCTATGCAAAATTCCTGAAAGACATCCTATCAAACAAAAGGAAGCTAGGAGACCATGAGACAGTAATGCTTACGGAGGAATGCAGTGCTAGAATCCAGAAAAAGCTCCTACCAAAACTGAAAGATTCAGGGAGTTTCACTATACCTTGCACAATTGGTGATTTTTATTTTGATAAAGCATTATGTGATCTAGGTGTGAGTATTAACTTGATGCCACTCTCTATTTTCAGGAAACTAGGATTGGGAGAGCCTAAGGCAACCACAGTAACTCTACAGCTAGCTGATCGATCACTTACACATCTACGAGGAATTATTGAAGATGTATTGGTCAAAGTGGATAAACTCATATTCCCATCGGATTTTCTTATTTTGGATATGGAAGAAGACAAGGACGTGCCTATCATATTGGGACGACCATTTTTAGCTACTGCAAGAGCCCTCATAGATGTGCAGCAAGGATAATTAACTCTGAGGCTGGGGGAGGAACAAGTCTCTTTTAATGTTTTCAAGGCAATGAAATACCCCAACGAGCCTGAAAGTTGTTTCCAGATTGAAGTACTTGACATAGGAATCTCCTATAATTTTGAGTTGAAGAAACAGCCAAACATTCATGAGGCCTGTATAGTACACTCTCCATCCGTTCTTATCGATTCAAAGGAGATTAAGACATTCAATGTGGGATTTCATACGGATGAGGAGAGAATGACAAATCACTTGGAGAAAGACAGGGATGAAATTTAGAGGATAACTGCAGTACGGAACAAGACCATATTGATCAAACTATGCAGGACCTCCCAAGCCATATTTAAAGTCCCATAAAATACCTGTGCCAAAAGTCGAGCTATCAACTATAAAATAGCGCTGGTTGGGAGGTAACCCAATGTTTCTATCCTTTCATTTACTTCGTTTTGCAATAGTTTAGGAAATTTTCATTTTTCTTGCATTATCAATAATTTTAGGTCATCGATCATACATCCCTATCACAAAGCGTCTAGGCATGGTCCACATGAGTTCCAATGCACCGAGCACGAGTCATGAGGTTGAAGTCCTATTTTAGTCAGTCATGTATTAAATTGAACAAAGTGCATGTTTTGAGTGAAGTTTCGTTGGTAATTCATATTTTTGTGATATAAACCCTATGTTAAGACATAAATTATGCATTCTGCACACCAACAATGTGCACATTAAAGCAAGTTTGGGGGATTTGTGCACTACGTAGGTAATTTCTTATCTCAGTTGCATCTGTTTATAGCAGGTGGACTAATACGCATACTTTACACTTTTACAGGATGCCGTAAAAAAGAACGTCACAGCTCCACCACTAAGAGACGGTATTGCTGGTCCTAATTTTCATTAACCACATCCATCTTGATCAGGGGAGTACTTGTACTCTATCTTGCGCTTAAATTTATTATTGTCCTTCAATTATGTCTGTTTACACTTTTATTTCATCTTCACATTGAGGACAATGTATTATCTATGTTTGGGGGTGGGTGACATAATCTTGGACACGAACATAATTTTGTCATTTTGGCTATATTCATTAATAACTATGTTTAATTGCTGCAATTCGTGTGCCTGTCGAGGATTTTAAAAAAAAAGTTCTTTGCCTTTTATTCAGTTTGTTGTATTTCCATTCTTGCATGCTTGTGTGGGCTTGATAGCCTTGCCAGCTATGATGTGATTATTGGACTGGTATAATTCATAAACTTTGGATATAGTGCTGAATAGATTAACCAATACTTGTGATGCAATACTTGACATTATCTATGCACGTTATTCATGCTTGGCATGTTAGGTGAATGACTGGATTTTGAGCATAAAGTAGGAAAAGAATGATAACCCTCTATTGAATTAACACGTAAACCACCTTAAGGCAGTTTGGAATTGGTTGAGCTATTATAGGGAACATTGAGATAAGCGGGGGCTCCGTGCATGAAATTTTATTGTGCGGATTGCATAAACCAGTGAGGTGAAGATTAGGTGAAAATCTTAAATTAGGGGTTGGTTTTGGAAACTAAATGTCTAGAACAATAAGGGCATAAAATTAATTTATGAGAATAAGACACTTCTTTTCATGCCTTTATGACCCGAGTAAGTAAGTCTATAAGGATATTTCAAAATCTGGTTCCCTAAGGTCAACTGGCCTGAGAGTAACCGGCCTAAAGCTCGCTAAAGGGGTTACATAGAAAGCAAATGAGAAGATGATAATGGTATTAAAAAAAATTTAGAAAAATTAGAGAAAAGCGAGAAAAACAAAAGAGAGGCAATAACATGAAGAAAAGCCTTTGACATTTGGTTGAAGAAACTATACCTTTAAGGCGAGGCAAGTAACCTAGTTTAATCTTGAGTGTCGAAGCAATCAAACTTAGGAGAGTCTTCACTTGTTGACATGTAAACTTGTGATAGTGAGATCAATCCAAACTACAAGAGGGTAAGGACTACATCTATGTAAATTCTTAATTTTAAAACACAATCCCGGGATAATTGAGTGAAAAGAATAAGTTTGGGGGATTGTGTATCTCTCGAGTGAGTAAGGATACATTTGACCACTTGGGGTCGGGACTCAAATTCAGCATGAACCTGATATGTTGGCATGAATTCACACACACACACGTCAATTTACATTTAACAGGTAAAGGTTGGTGTTATTTTTGCACTGATAAATTTTCATAAAGTCAAATACTTAGTCCAATCCTGAGCCACAGCAGGGTATTAAGTCATGTTTGTTTAGAATTAAGTCACTATCTTGTTTGAGGACAAACAACAGTTCAAGTTTGGGGAGTTTGATAAATGTATTTTTGCACACTTATTTAGGTCACAAACATGACTTAATAATGAGCAAAATGATTGAATTGTGACTTAATCTCGTTATATTTGTGAATTGTAGGGAACACCGATGAACATGGTGAAATTCAGAAGAAAAGAGTCGAAAAAAGACTAAAATGGAGCAAAGTGATAATTCGGGGACCAAGTTGCAAATAATCCATAGATGAGACGGGAAATGGAATGAAGATTCAAGAGTGTTAGAGGTCAATCGGATGAGGAAAGGAGTCAAGAGGTGAAATATGGTCGAAGTATTATCAAGTATCAACTTTCAGGCGAAAAAGTTATGCTCGTGATTTTTAGTCTCTAATTGAGATCCATTTTTGGCATAGTAAACATCAGAATTTGAAGAAGCCTATTTCTATCAAAAGTGTATATCTTTGAGTTTTCTTCCCAGTGTACTTTGAATCACTTCAATTGGAGATCAAGAGAGAAGGTTATGACCAAAATACTAAAAGATGTTCGACGAAAAAATTTCTATAACCATGCGGCCGCATGGTTATAATTCCTTGCGGTCGCACAAGGCAGTACAGGGAAAAATTTGAGCTAAAACTCTGAACCATGTGGTAGCATGGCTTTATACCATGCGGTCGTATGGTATAAAAATGTGACAAAATCTCAAGTTTCCTTATTCGACTCAATCACGATTTAGTAAGGTTTTGGGCGACTTCCTTGACCTAATTCCGCCTCCAATAAATACCAGACGACCTTGAAACATAAAGAGGGGGGGGGGGAATATACACAATTTTGGAGGATTTGGAGAGGAAGAACAAGGTAAAAACAAGGCAATCCACTTCAAGATTCAAGATTTCACTTCAAGAATCAATTGGATGATGTTCTTCCTTTGTTTTAATTATTGTTTTTCTTTATTCCCCACTATGCTAAACTAGATTTTCAATTACTAGGTGATTAATGAACCATTGTTTGTTATTTTAATTCCATATTTCATGAATTTAATATAAAGACTTGTTTGGATAATTTGATTGGTTTATATGCATTAATTTTCTTCCGCAATTAGTGGCCAATGATTGTGTAAGTGTTGATGACTTATTTCTTACATTCTAGAGAATAATTCAAGATACATTTTGGCTACATTATCCTTTCGATGCATACGAGGCATGCATTGCACGTTCTCAATCCACTCACACTAATTCAAGTGAGATTGAAACATGTGCACGATTTTTGGAAACTAATCCACCATACATGCGCAAGCGTCACTTTGAAGAACTGGGAACTAGGACTACAAAGTCAGTGACATCTATTCAGCAATCTCCCAAGTTGGAACTCAAACAATTTCCACCATACATTTTATAAACTTACTTGGGGGAGTCTTCTACACTCCCGATTATTATTTCAAATACTGTTAGTGAAGTGGAGGAAGAGAGACTACTTCGGGTGCTGAAGGAGAATAAAATAGCCGTTGGATGGTCAATTGCAGATATTAAGGGGATCAGCCTGTCGCTACGTATGCACAAAATACTCATGGAGGAAAATTTCAAGCCAAACATTGATGGTCAGCGGAGATTGAATCCAAACATGAAGGAAGTGATTAAGGCTGAGGTATTGAAGTTGCTTGATACAGACATCATCTACCCAATATCAGATAGTTCATGGATCAATCCAGTGTAGGTTGTTCCAGAGAAGTGAGGTATCACAGTAGTATAGAATGAGAAAAATGAGTTGATTCCTACAAGAACAGTGACTGAATGGAAAGTTTGCATCGATTATCGCAAACTAAACGCTACTACCCAAAAGGATCATTTTCATCGAAGTATTCATGTACGACTTCTTAGTGTTTGGGTCTTCGTTTGATAAATGTTTGGAGCATCTGAGTCTTATGTTACAGCGGTGTACGGAGACCAACTTGGTATTGAATTGGAAGAAATGTCACTTTATGGTACAAGAGGGTATCGTGTTAGAACACAGAATCTCAGCAAAGGGTATTGAGGTGGACAGAGCAAAGATTCAGGTGATTGAGAAATTACCGCCACCAACATCAGTGAAAGGTGTTCGTAGCTTCCTTGGGCATGCCTGATTCTACAGAAGGTTCATAAAGGATTTCTCAAAAATTACTAAACCATTGTGTTGTTTGTTGATGAAGGAATCCACATTTGAGTTCACAGATGAGTGTTTGATGGCTTTTAATACCTTGAAAGAGAAGTTGATTTCAGCACCCGTGATCATCACACTGGATTGGAACCTACCATTTGAATTAATATGGGACGCCATTGATTTTACTCTTGGGGCCATATTGGGACAACGAAGAAATAAGATATTTCACGTAATCTATTATACAAGACCTTGAACGACGCTCAATTAAATTATGCCACTACAGAGAAAGAGCTCCTTGCTATAGTCTACGCCTTTGACAAATTTCGATCATATCTTGTAGGGTCAAAGGTCATCGATTACACAGATCATGATGCCTTCAAGTACTTAATGGAAAAGAAGGATGCCAAGCCACGTCTCATTCGTTGGATACTGCTGCTTCAAGAGTTTGATCTGGAAATCAAAGATAAGAAGGGTAGTGAAAACGTGGTAGCAGACCACTTGTCTCGACCCGAGACCACAGAGCAGATAGAGACCGTGGAAATCAATGAAGTCTTCCCAGATGAACAGCTTTTTGGTGTGGGAGAGGCACCTTGGTATGCTGACATAATTAACCTTGGTATGCTGACATAATTAACTACTTAGCTAGGTCTATTGTTCTGCCAAATTACTCAAGTCACTAGAAGAAAAAAAAATTCGTTGAACTGAAGTATTATTTTTGGGAGGATCCCTTTCTATATAGGCGAGGAGCTGATCAAATTGTTCATCATTGCATACCTGAGGAAGAAGTGCCCTTAATACTAGTTCAAAAACAGCAGTGAAGATCCTTCAGTCAAGTTTTTACTGGCCTACATTATTTAAGGATG